GTAATACTTTTGAGCCCGGGCAAAGAGTTTGGTTGTTTAATACAAGATTGAAACCTTTTCTTGGAAAACTTCGGTCACGATGGGAGGGTCCTTAAACGGTTACTTTTGTTGCACCCCATGGCGTGGTAGAGTTACGAGAAGACTGGAGAGTTATGGAAAGTCAATGGACAAAGACTAAAACTCTACATAGAGGGTAGTGTGCAGAGAGGCACAGTGGAGTCTATAGAGCTTGAAGATCCTATTTATTTGGACTAGAGAGGTCACTTTTACTTCGAGCTAGGGACGTTAAACTTAGCACTTGTAGGTTTGTACTTTAGCTCAGTTTGATTTGTTTTATTTTCTTTTTCTTTCTCTTCTTTTTATTTTGCTTTCTAGGTTTTTAGTTTTATTTAAGTATTTTTATTTTTATTTTTAGGTTAGATTAGCTTAGGTTAGACTTAAGATTATTTTTTAAAAAAATAATAATAAATAAATAAATAAATAATTGTCTCAAAAAGCTCGTACAGAGAACTTTCTGCTCGAGCACTGGCATTCGTAGAGCTCGAGCACAATCCCATGTGCTAGAGCATTTCGGCATAGCTAAATTTCGGGCTCAAGTGATTCTTCCTCGATTACAAAACCTTATGCTCGAGCACTGCATTTTAAAATCCTAATAAAACCCTTATTCCTTCCTCTCATTCCATTCTTTTCTTTCTAAAACCAATTCCTACTCCAAACTCTTAATTTCTTCTACAATGTTCTTTGATATTCTCCTCCCAGATCTGCGAGTCTAATTCAAGTATATCTCTTCATCATCTTCATCTTTACATTCTCCATTCTATGTGTATTTCAAATTTTAGATCTTGGATTTAAAAGATGAAATGCTTTGATGATTTTGATTAGGTTGCTCTTCATTATAGTTTGTGGTTGTTATGAGTGCTTAAAGGAGTTATGTTAATTGTACAATACAGGGATGAAGATTGGATTCATGGAGTTAAGTTGGTGTAGTTGCAGGTTCTGCCTGAGCCTTTGATTTTCTGCTTGAGCATTGTTTGAGCTTAAGCACTGTTGAATTTAATCGAGCATTTTCTCACTGTTTGCATATTAGGGTTCATTGTTGAGGTTTGAGAGTGATTCTTTTGGGATTCTTAGTTCATACATTCTATTAGAAGTTGAGATGGTTCATCCTTCTCCTTCTAAACGTGCTCGTTTGACTAGAGGTACTATGACAAGTGCGTGGAAGACTTGTCCTATTTCTTATGAGACGACCATTGACATAAAGGCGTTCGTCAATGATCCTCGCACTCGTTGGGCTATGAAACCTTTTAGCTACCAGCATCTTCTTCATACTATGATTCTCGCACCGATGAAGGCTTATCCCTGCCTTATCCGTCTGTTCTATCTTAACCTTGCCTATAGTGATAGTGAGCCTTAGGTGCTTAGGACTATAGTGGATGGGCATGAGTTGGTTGTTTCTCTTAATGCGATAACTGTAACTTTGGAGCATTATCATAAGATGCTAGAGGTATTAGATGAGAGGCGTCACTGTCCTACATTTACAACTTTTCCCAGGGCTGGAATTGCTAAGAGTTTGATTGAGGATTTGTGTGAGGGTAGGTTTACTATAGGAAAACGCAGTAGTACTACCAAATCCAAGCTTCCTAAGAGGTTGTGGATTGTAGATTCCATTATCTCTGCCAATGTCCATCCTAACACTAGGTCGCTTGCATATGCCAAAATATGAGAGCACTTCACGGAAAGCCTTTTTGGTCAAATTTAAATTTATAGAAACCACTACTAGTACTACTAGTAACGTAGTAAGAGTGAGCAGGGATCGTCCTAATGGATTTGCAAGGTACTGCGGAATTAAATTCGGGTTAGTAGGTCGAATGATCAAAGAGAGGTTTGGTTGGTTGAATTAAGCTAATGATTCAATTAAAAACATGCAAATTAAGAGCAATCTAAAGATTAAGGTATAGAGAATGAGAAAGAAGTCTTGGGGCATAAAGTTCACCGCTAAGCTTCACTTCACTAAACATTTAGCATTTGTCAATTTAGGGGGAATCCATGTTGTAAAACAAGTGTATCTGCCATTAATTGAAATGCTAAGCATGGACGGCAAATTAAACATAAATTTTCTAATAAATCTAGTGAGTAGCACAACTTATCAAATTAAGCCATTAACCATTCAATAAACCCACAGTTAATACACACACAAAAATCTAGAGAAATGTACTACTTACACTCATAAGCATGGATCATAAATAACAAGAATGGATTGTCTACCTAACTAGGAATTTAAAGCAACTACACTACAACTATACTAATGATAAGGAAATTTAACTAATTAAGCTAAGGAGGTAGCACAATTCATCAAGAAAAAAGCATAATCTATCAAATAAACCATAAGAGTAATCAATTAAGGACTATACCTTGACCATCACTAGATTTATAATTCCAACACACAGATATGCATTAAACTAATAAAATCTAGTGTAAGCACATGACCATTTATTCTAACATACATAGACATATGAATAGAAATAAAAGATCAATTGGAAGAATTAATTCATACAAATCATGTAGAAACTCAAGATTTATATATAGTCATGATCAAAACATTATTTATAACATAAATTCCCCAAAACTACAAAATACTAAGTTTAGGAAGCAACCCTAGGGGCTATCTCTAGCCTCAAGAGAAAGATTTAGCCACTCATGGTTGTTTGTCATCCAACCCTCAAGGGCTTTCTTCAATGTAGCACCATCTCTTTCCTCTTTGCTTTGCTCCAAAAACCCTAATCTAGAGAGGGAAAATTATCTAAAATCTATGTTTAAAGCTTGAACAAAAGTGTGTAAAAATTGGAACTACTATTGGAACACTATACAATTGGTTTCATTTCATTTAAATACAAGCCTCTTTGAGTAGGCAACAAGTCAGAAAATAGGCCTTTGATTGGTACAATCTCGCAGCTACAAAAGTTGGTGGAGTGAGTTCGGACACGCTCAGGAATTAAAAAGCTCATTGCCAGCAAGGGCTTTGATCTATCGAAGCTTATTTCGATCGATTGAAGATGACGTGGCAAAGATATTTTTGATAACTGGTGACCTTATCCACTGAGCTGGCACTACCTTAATTTCAATCGACTGAGGATCTCTTCGATCGATCGGGACTTCTTTCGATCGATCAAAGACTCTCTAGTGCAGTTTTTCTGACTTTTTTCAAATTTTCTCCTTAACTCCGAAAAGGAGATAATAGGCTTTTTTTAGCCTTTTTAAACCTTCTTAACCTAAAATAGACAAAAACAAAAATTAGAACTAAAACGGGAAAGTAAGATAGATGAATGGACTAAAATACACTAGCTTAAGTGCTAAAATGTATAACATTTGAGCACTTATCACACCAACTTAGATATTGCTAGTCCCTAGCAATGAACTACAAAGAAAAGAAAGAAATAAACAACTATAGAACAATAAACTAGAAAGCAATAAAAGGATAACGCCATTTTCGTAGGGAACACGATTGTATTTAGCGTATGCAACAAATCTTTTAAACCCCTATGTTACCCCTAATGGACGAGTGAAGTCTCATAAGGGTTTCTAGAAATGATACCCACAAACATTAAACTCTTTCTCACTAAATAGGCACCAATATACAAAACAAGCATTGGGAGAAAACTACCTCAAGTATACAATTTTTCAACCATCTCCAAGCAACTCTCCAAAATTTCAATAACATGCAAACAAATATGGTCCTCCACACATCAAGAGAATGATCATGCAAATCAAAACAACTCTAGAATACTTTTTAAGTGAACCGGCATCAAATATGCTATCTTAGCCAATTAATGAAATGGTCACAACCGGCCTCAAGTTAGCCCACAAATCTAGTACCGATCATCAAGATAAATAATGAACCTTTTATTAAAGTTTTATTCAACTAGGTGCACTTATTCTTTTCACTTGATATATATATATATATATTAAGGATCAAAGATGGAAGCATGGTGCAATGTAATGATCTCTTAAGCTTTTTAGAAGATTCATGAGGCAAGCGTTAGGTCAATGACTCCCAAGCCGGACGACTTTAGGGCATTAGGTGTAGAGACACCCCTAAGGACTTACAAGCTCAAATCAACTAGGTTATAAATCAAAACAACATCCATCTAATCATTTCCTACTCCTTACCTTTGGTAAGAAGTCTTCACTTTTTTTTTTTAGAAACCTAGAGTTTGGGCCCTCCACCTTTCGGCGTGAGAAATTCAATGCTTGATGAGGCTAGAATCCCGATTACTTAGTGAAAAGAGTTTTTTATCCACCTTTGTCAAGAATGAAAGCTTTCAAAGCACTACTAGCTCAATTGGGATATAACCAAATCAATAATCAACAAAGCATATACCCCACAAATGAATGCTAGTATGCGCCTGTACTAGTGTAGAACTCTAGAGTGAATCTCAAAACAATCATAAGATCAAGATGATGTGGACAAATGTAAGTATGATATCAATCTTTTGAAAAATTTACTTCTAAATGGCATCCATAAGGCATATAAGGAGTATTAAACTCTCAAGTCAAGCAATTGTTAAATTTTAAGTATCATGGTCCTCAAAAGATCAAAATCATAGCTATGCTCACAAATTATACCATATACATAGAAAATAAGTGCGACATGCCAAAATATGCTAACACACCCCCAAACTTAATATGTGCATTGTCCTCAATGTACAAAGATGGCAATAGATAGTGGAAAGAGTATAACAAATGGGTGTAACAAATAACACCTAGCAATAGAAGCTTAACATTGGAAGGCGCACCCCCAAACTTAGATTCCAAAAACCTATCTGAAAATGGTCACACTAGCAACTGTCAAAGCATATGCATCGATAATCTAAATAAGAGATGGAATGGAGAACTGGGATAAATCCATAGCATATGGCAATATAAAGCGCAGAATATCCAAAACCAAAATCAATAATGTTAAAATCCCAAAAATCCATGTATGCCAATAAATGCAAAACCAATATCCAAAACTATATGTATCAATGCAGTGCAAAATAATATCCAAAACTAATGTAAAGATAATAAAACAATGCAAATATCCCAAAAATATCAGTGTAGCAAAAATGTATCGGATCATGGAATAAGTAACAGAAAGAGAGAATGGTAGAATCATGGTGAAGCATCCGACGCAAGCATATCGATAATGATCTGTAGCATATCTGACATCTCTCGGCTCTGTCGAGTGAGAGACATCTGAATGTCTGTCCTCAAATCTGAAATGTCTCTCCTCGCATCTGTTATAGCCCTCGCCAGATCGTCAGATCACCTGGCTAAGTTATCATGCTGCCTCGCAAAATCATCATGCCACCCCGTCATGTCAGCTTTGAAAGAAGTAAAATCTAAATGAAGCTAAGTCAGGTTAGCTCTGTGGCTGGAATTTGAATTGGCATGATGGGAGCGAGTGTCGGCCTGGGGCATCTGCTCCATAGGTGGGACATATGAGGGGCCGACCTGCTGAGATGGATGGGGAGGAAGAGGTGGACCCTGCTGCAACGTGGATGTGGAAATAGTAGTATGCTGCCTCTGTCTAGGTCTAAATGAAAAAGGTGATCCCTGAGATCCCTCGTCTGCCTTTTCCTCTGCTCTCTGTTGAGCTCGCTGCCTCTTTTGCTTTCTATTATTCTATTATTTAAGCAAGCATTGTAAGTATTGGTCCACAGTTTTTTATCATACACCCTTTTCTCTCTCTACTCTGTAGGCTCTGTAATCTCAGCTGGGTCAAAGGAATAGCCCTGGTCGATCAATATCTGTGTGATAAGATGGCCGAATGGTAAAGGCCAAGTATTAACTCTAGAATTGTGCTTGAAGATAAGATTGTCCCAATACTTATGAATAATCTCCCAGATAAGAGCAGGAATAGATATCTACCAGCCCTGGCTCAAACTATAAAGAGCCTTTAGAATCCCCTCCCACCTCTGTGTACTGTGGCCTGAAGGAAAGGCATTAAGATGCAGCACAGAATCCAAGAACCAATAGTGGGGATCAATATCAACCCGGACTGCATATATATTGCCTAAATAGGCAGCCTATGGAAAAAGTGTAGCAATCATAGTCATCTCAGCAGGGTAAGCTGGAATGATCGGGTAAAGTGGATCCTCAGAGTTAGCGACCACTGGTGAGAGATGGGGACATCTGCAAGCGGCAGCAATGGCAGGAATAGAAATATCAATGTCCTGACCATTTATGGTCGTGTGCATCAGTTTGCGGTCATCCTTATCCATCTGGAGGTGCTGAAAAAATAGAGCAACCAACAGGGGATAAACTATAGTGTCTGTTGGAGTTATGATAACATGCCCCTACGGGTGAGCTCTGCAAATGACCACTCTGTTCGCTCTAACCCGATAAATAGCTCTCTGTTAAATCTGAATTCTGGCTCTAATTTCTTGCCGGAGAAATAGGGAGTAGGCACTGCCCTGACAATGGGGCCCTGAGCATCCATATAAGATGGCCCTGAAGATGTGGATGCAAATGTAGTAGCCTCAGATGATGAAGAAGATTCCTCTTATGGAGATGGAGGATGCGGCTACTCTCTTTCAGGCAAGAGTCTTTTACCTACGTTGCATCTGCAAAAGCAACATGTACAAGTTAGTGCACAGGTATAAAATGAGGTAAGCATCTGATAAGAAAACACAAAGCATGCCTAAATCAAGTAGAAACAAAAAATAGACATATAGGGTCATGCTTGTGCAAGAAGTGATCAAGAAAGCTTCAATAATATCATTCAACATGCTTCAACCAAAATAGAATAGATCATAGCACAATAAGCAATCTCAGATACACAAAACAATGCAATGATAACATAGAGGCCAGAAAAGTCACTTTTGGAAGCATTTAAGCAAAAATGGGATCAAAATGACAAGTATAGGATCTGATGTGCATAAAGGATGTAACGTGTGTTCACAAACCTAAAACTCAAGAAGATTTTACAATTTCATGGTAAGTAGACCCTAGGATGACATCGTATCAATTCTTAAGCAAGAATGTCTACAAATTCAACATTTAAGACTAATGGAACAAGTAGGACAACATGAAGAATATAATCATGGCAACTGTCTACCTAGAACTCAAGAAACATGTATATCATGAAATAAAGACTTAAGTGAATTACACGGCTGCAAAACACTTCAATCCTAGGCATGTTATGATACACAAGTTCAAAAATGAATCCTGGACATGGTATGCAACTATATGGCATGTATCTGAATGATGCACAAATAATAGAGTCAAACTCCAATCACAAAAATATCATATACTCCATTTCAACAAAATCAACATCCTATGATCACTCATGGCTCGTGACCCCTTCTAAGTAATATATAAGCAGAAAATTAATCGCTTATGGCTCGCGACCCCCTTTAAAGCTAAAATGAAGCAAAGAATGGTCAAAGACTGAGAATAACAAGAAACTTACCCCTTTTGAGTCAAAATCATCACCGACAAAGAACCTCGATCTCAAGCCCTTATTAGCTTCCAAAAATGGATCACAAGTATATATAATCAAGCAAATGGCATTTTAAAGATCAACTTTGTAAATTCAAGACAACATACCCCCAAACTTACTTCAAATGGCATTTTGAAATTCAAATTAAGCTCACAAGTGATTACTAAGGCCAAAGAATAACAATGACATCCAAACATGCATTTTGAACTCTAAACATTCATTTCCCTCCCCAAAACTTATTCAAAGATCAATGCCACAGAGATTTATTCAAAAGAAACACAAACTTTCAAAACCATTAATGTGACAAAAGTGTGTTCAAAATGTGTATAAACAAGCAACAAGTTTCAAATTATTCCAAAATGCACACAATTATTCAAAGAAGATCACATTTGACAATTTTCAAGTTTATCAAGCAACATTAGACCCCTTTGACTTCAAAAAGTTTAGTTTAGAAGGTCAATTCAACACATCTTTCAAGAAAGTTCAAAATCATGTCAATTTGGGTTAAAGGACATCAAACTTATACCCTAGCATGGCAAGAATCAAGAATTGAGAACAAACAAGTTTAATAGTACTTAGCACATGCATTTGGATGGAAAGAAAACAAACGGAACAAGTTTCAACTCATTTAAGGGCATTTTGGTCAACTTTGGAAATTTCAAAACTTTTGGGTCAAATTTGGAATTTTTGAAAACTTTGGGATCCAAAACATTCACATGCATTGTAGATAAGCATCATTACAAGAATCATGCATTGAATATTCAACAAAGGAAGGAATTAAACAACTCGACTTCTCATTTTCAAAACAAAGTTCAAAAATTCCTTCTTACATTTTGGAAACCAAAAAGTTTGTTCAAAAAGTCATTTTAAGCATTCAAGAATCATTTTGCCAAAACAATGCACTTTAACCATGAGCAATCAACAAATTAAGATAAAAAAACTTACAAAGAGATTCCATTTGAAACACATTTATGCATTTTAACTTGACTTTGCATTTTCAAGATTCAAAAACACAAGTTTCAAACTCAAGTCATATTTTCATGCATTTAAGACAACTTAGAAATAAATGGCATCCATGCATTTTCACATTAAGCAAAAGAAATCAAATCGAGGACATGCTCACCAATATTCAACTTTTGATGCCATTTTGCAACTCCTAAAATTTTCAAGATATTTGTCAAGTTCTAAAATTTTCCATTTCAATTCAATTCTTTCAAAGCAATTCCACTTTGACAATCATGCTTCCATTTCAAATTACAAAGCAACCATTCCAATTTTATGACATTGAATTCCAAATTCCATTCACAAATTAAGATCTCAAAACAACTTTCCAAAAATTTTTATTTTTCAACTCAATTCAAAAAATTTAACTTAAAATTTCTTTTCCAATTCCCATTTCAATTTAAATCCACAAATAACCAAGTGCATTAGGGATTTTAAAACCACAATCCAAGTTCATTTTTGAAAAAATTCGGCATTAGTTCCTCTTAAAAATTTGCATACCACAAAATATTCTTTCAACAAAGGCAACATAGCATGCATATATGGAATCAAAATTAAACTTTAAACATTCATAAATCAACCAATTTAAAGTCCCAAACTCCATAGAGACACAGCCCACAACACAATCCATATTTAAGCCCATCCTCCTTCAAAAATCTATACACTTCCCCAACTACATCAAACTCCATTCACAGCATCAACAAAATATCATCTACAAAATTCCCAACTTCAATTCACAACTTACAGTCCCAAACTCTATCAAATGTCCAACCTCCATCAAACAATATCACTGTAAAGTCCCAAATCTATTTCAGTCTCATTCCAATTCAAGTAAAAAAAAAATTATTTTTTGATTTCCAATTTTTTTGATTTTTTCAATTCCAGTTTCTATAATTGAACACATATATATATACAAACATATATTCAAAGGAAAATAAAACTAAAATTGAAAAATGTAAAAAATAAAAGAAAATTAATTATTAAAATCGAAACAAAAAAAAAAAAAACATGTTCACATACCCGACTCAAAAATGAGAAGAGGAGACGGAGAGAGAGAGATTCGGGATGAATCCAAAAATTTCCGGCCAACATTGGCCGGAAGTGATGATCAGAGCCCCGCCGGAATTTGCAGAAAACTCGCCAGAATCTAATCGGCTTCTCCTTGGCCTAAATCGGCCGGAGAAATAGGGAGAACTCCGAGAATGAAAGGAATTCGAGAGATTGGAGAGAAGAAAGAGCTTGGCCGTAAGCCAAAAGCTCGCCTGAAATGATGGTGGACGGTGGCGCTTGGGATGCCTTGGGCTTCGCCAGAAATGAAAGAGACGAAGGTGGGTTTTTGATGTTCACCGAACCGAGAGGGAGAGGTTGGGTGGAGGGTTTGAGAGAAGATAAGAGTTTGAGAGTTTGTGAGAGTGTTTGAGAGGGATGAGAATCGGGAAGAGAGAAAGAGAGGGAGGCCGAGAGTTAGAGAGGAAGAGAGAGAAAGAGAAAAGAAAGAAAAGAAAAAGAAAAAGAGAAAGAAAAAGAGGAGAGAGTATTTTTAAGGTTGGGAAGGCCAACGACCAAATTAATTTTCTCCAAATTTGAAAGACTTAATCTCGATCGATCGAACACTTACTTCGATTCATCGAAGGAGAGAATTGAAAGAATTATGGGTCAAGTTCGATCAATCAAAAAATTTCTCAATCGATCAAAACAACTTTAATTGATTAAATGGGATATGAAAAGATTGATTTAAGAACTTCGATTGATCGAAAGTTACTTCTTCGATCGATCGAAAAGGTGAGATCTTGAGAGCAATTTTTAAGGCAAAATGGGCCTTTGCAAAATTCGATCGATCAAAGAGGGGTCTTCGATCGATCGAAGATGACATTGAAAGTGATGAAAATACTGAAAACTGCCCGGAAACTTGAATGATCAACTCAGAACATATCTAGACAATGCAGAAAAGAACAAAAGAAGAAATGAGGGAAGAATAAGGTTGGAAAACCCTATGAAGTACTAGTGTTTAACGTCTCTAGCAAGACGTTGGGCTCTTTTAGCCCAGATCAAAAATCTTGTTAGACATCCCATTCTCAACGAGGTGAATTGAACTTCGAACCCTACCCAACAAATCATTCCCTAAGGAAATTGTTAGATTTGATTCAAGTAAACTTGATGGCTTTTGATCAAAGAAACTTTTAGGCTTCTATGCCCTTTCAACATTGGAATTCAAGACGACATCTTTCGAAGATTGATTCGAAGGCAAAACATTTTATTTTTCAACACATGGAGATAACTCATTTTTGTCAATTTTGTTTTCAAAACTTTTTTCCACAACAAAAATCTCTTCATGCTTGTCCATTGAATTAGGGTTTGGATTAAATATATTCAATTTCACCTTCATGTGGCCAAAAGAAAGCTTCATTATCCCCGTCCTATAATTAATGTTAGCATTGGCGGTAGCCAAGAAAGGACGGCCAAAGGATAACCGGGTTTTGGCTTTTTGGATTGGGAACCGGCTCCGTGTCAATGACTACAAAATCAGACGGGAAGAAGAATTTATCAATCTTGATCAAAACATCCTCAATTATACCCTGGGGCTTTTTGATAGATCGGTCGGCTAGTTACAAAACTACCGACGTTGGCTTTAAATTGCCCAAACTCAATTGGACCTATACCGAGTATGGAAGAAGATTCATGCTCACCCCTAAATCCAAAAGAGCTTGATTAATGACATGGTCACCTATGGTGCAAGATGTAGTGGGTGAACCAGGGTCTTTGAATTTGGAAAGAGTGTTGTGTTGCAAAATAGAGCTCACTTGCTTGGTAAGGACAACTTTCCTTGGTGCTTGACTTTTGTTCTTTTTCTTTAGAGTGCACAAATCTTTTAAGAATTTGGCATAAGCCGGAATTTGTCTAATGGCATCTAAGAGAAGAAGATTTATTTTAAGTTGCCGAAACACATCAATAATTTCATTCACCTTACCTTATTGCCTTTCAAAAGATGTGGTCGCTTTGAAAACATCCAAAAATTGAGCCTTTGGCTCAAAAGATGGGGTCCTTTTTATTAAATGAAAGAGGAATATAATGTGAAACGGGACGGGTGTCAACACTAGGTTGCACCGGTTCACTCTCTTCATTAGAAACATCAACTTGGTTATCAATCACCCTTTCACTTCTCAAAGTGGTCACCGCATTAACTTGCTCAAGTGAAGGACCTTCTGTCAGGAAAGTTGTCTCCACTACTAATTGTTGCTTAAGTAGGGGATTAAGAGGCATTTTTACTTTTTCTCTCGCATTCAATATGTTAGCTATTTGCCCAACTTGGATCTCTAGCTTGGCAATTGATTGTAAGTGAGAATGAAGCAATTGAGTATTCGCTTCCAAAGTACCTAAAGCCGATAGAACTTTTTCTTCGAAAGCAGGACTTCTAGGATGACTTTGAGAATCAGATGGTTGATTGGGACCTTGAGAATTTGAAAATTGGCTCACATTGGGAGCTTGATAAGGCAGACGATAGCCTTAAGAATTTTGGCCTTACAAGTTGGATGGAACATACTTCCCTTGAAAACCACCTTGGGGAGGATTTGAACCTTCCCCTTGGCTTTTCCAAGAGAAATTGGGGTGATTTCTCCACCCGAGATTGTAATGATTGCCATAGGGATTATTCCTTTGATTCACAAATGCAGCATTGACTTGTTCATGATGCTTATTATGCATATGTCCTTGGTGACAATTGGAAGTAATATGTAACACACTTGAACATGTAATGCAAGACTCACTAAAATGATGATGATGAAGGGAGGAATACACTTGATGAGCCGAATTTTGATTGATAAAAAATTGATTAAACCTTTGAGTTAAAGACTTCACCTCAGCAACTATGTCACTAGAATTTTCCAATTGATATAAGCTTGAATTCTTTCTTCTTCCTATATTCACATTTCTACCATTTCTAGAAGACAATGTTTGATGCATTGAGTTTTCACTCATGCTTTCATACAATCTCCACACATCATCCTCATGCTTATCCAAATAAGACCCTCCCATTGAAGCAGTAACCATGCCTTTATGGGTATCCAACAAACTTTTATAGAAATGTTGGATGATATGCCACTTAAGAATGTCATGATGAGGACATTTCCTAAGTAAATCATTCAACCGTTCCCATGCCTCATGTAACATCTCCCCATCCCCTTGTGAAAACTCACGAATTGAAGTTCGCATGACATTGGTTTTGAAAATGGGATAATACTTTCTCAAAAACTCTTGTTGCATTTCCGCCCAAGAAGTTATGGAAAGAGATCTCAAATTATTGAACCAATACTTTGCCTTATCTTTTAGGGTAAATGGAAAGAGTTTCAACCTTAAAACTTCTTCCGGCATGTCCATATACTTTACGGTGGAACAAACTTCAAGAAATTCATTTAAATGCTTGTTCCTCATTGGTTAGCCCAAAATAATTCGGGAGCATTTGTATGGTTTGTGGCTTAATTTCATAATGATGTGCTCTAAATGGAGGAAGTTGAATGCATATAGGTGCATTATACTCATTCGGCACATAGTGATCTTTTAAAGCCATGGGAGGATTTGCAATTGGTGGCTCTACATGAGCTTCATTATTAGCTTGGATAATAGGTGGTGGAGGTGGCATAAAGAATGGCCTTGACATTCTAATTGGAACTTGGCCTTGTGGTTGAAGAGTAAAAGGTCTAGGCAACCTAAAAGAACGTGCATATTATCATGTTGTTGCACATTAGGATGGAGTATGCCTTATTAGTCTACATGACCAAGGTCTTCAATATGATCATCCATTGATGCAATGGATTCACTTGAATTGCCCCTACTCCTTGGATTACGCACAATTGACTCAAGATTAAGGTTCAATGGAACAAGAGGGCGGTTTAAAGACCTACGACCATGCATGCACAATATAAGTCAACACAAACAACAAATAGCAAATACTTCTCCTCCACCACACAAATCAATCAACAACAAGCCTCCACATACATTGATCCCATACTCCCATGCTTTTCAACAAATGCAAGAAAGTAAGTTGCCTCTGCACGAGCCGATGATCAATAATGAAATAAAATTGCCTCCACACGGGCCGATGATTTAAACTAAGCAAGAGGGGTTTAGAAACGCTCACAAAGGTCCTTAAGAAACTTCAAGAAATTTTTAATTATTTTGCTTTGCTTTTGCAATTCAATTTTATTTTTATACTTTGCTTGCTTTAAAGTTCCCTTGCTTTGCTTCTCTTTGCTCCAGGTACCTAGTTTATTAATAATAGCAAAGTGAGAAAACAAAATAAAATAAAATAAAGCAAGGATTGAAAGAGTACTAATTCCTAATCAATTCCTAGTAATGCATTGCTAATCCCCATTAACGGCGCCAAAATTTGACACGAGGTCGCTTGCATATGCCAAAATGTGAGAGTGGTTCACAGAAAGCCTTTTTGGTCAAATTTGAATTTATAGAAACCACCACTACTACTACTACTAACGTAGCAAGAGTGAGTAGTAGTAGTAGTGGTGGTTTTTATAAATTCAAATTTGACCAAAAAGGCTATCGTCCCAAGGGATTTGCAAGGTACTACGGAATTGAATTCGGATTAGTAGGTCGAATGATCAAAGAGAGGTTTGGTTGGTTGAATTAAGCTAATGATTTGATTAAAAATATATAAATTAAAAGCAATCTAAAAATTAAGGTATAGAGAATGAAAGAGAAGTCTTGGGGCATAGAGTTCACCACTAAGCTTCACTTCACTAAACATTTAGCATTTGTCAATTTAGGGGGATTCCATGTTGTAAAACAAGTGTATGCCATTAATTAAAACACTAAACATGGGCAGCAAATTAAGCATAAATTATCTAATCAACCTAGTGAGTAACACACAACCTATCAAATTAAGCCATTAACCATTCAATAAACTCACAATTAATACACACACAAAAATCTAGAAAAATGTACTACTTGTACTTATAAGTAGGGATCATCAAACAACAAGAATTGATTGTCTACCTAACTAGGAATTTAAAGCAACTACACTACAACTATACTAATGACAAGGAAATTAAACTAATTAAGCTAATGAGGTAGCACAATCCATCAAGAAATAAACATAATCCATCAAATAAACCACAAGAGTAATCAATTAAGCACTTTGCCTTGACCATTACTAGATTTATAATTCCAACACACATAAACATGCATTAAACTTATAAAATCTAATGTAAGCACATGACCATTCATTCTAACATACATAGACATATGAATAGAAATAAAAGATCAATTGGAAGAATTAATCCATACAAATTATGTAGAAACTCAAGATTTATATATAATCATGATCAAAACATCATTTACAACATAAATCCCTAAAAACTACAAAATACTAAGTTTAGGAAGCACTCCTAGGGGCTATCTCTAGCCCCAAGAGAAGGATTTAGCCACTCATGGTTGTTGTCATCTAACCTTCAAGGGCTTTCTTCAATATAGGCACCATTTTATTCCTCTTTACTTTGCTCCAAAAACCCTAGTCTAGAGAAAGAAAATTATCTAAAAGCTATGTATAAAGCTTGACCAAAAGTGTGTAAAAATTAGAACTACTATTGGAACCCTATA